GAACATAAGACGTCAAATAGAAGCCGTCAAATACCCATATATGCCAAACGCTAAGGCTGCCCTTGGACACGGTTCCTATGACCGTGGCACGTGCTTGGTTGGGCCCAAGTAACTCGCGTGTGCCACATCTGCACATTGGAAGACAGCCAGAGGGTAATTGGCCTATTCTTCCATGCTGGCCAGGAATTTTGGAAGAGGTGGGAATATCCACGCTGCACCCCTGACACACGCGAGATCTGCCCATCGACCAACTGGTTGCACCCGTTGACAATGCTGGGAGATGGAGTGAAACCGCTACCTCTGGATCACAAGTCCAGTGCGTCAATGACACCGCAGCAGCGGCCCAGTTTGCCGAGGCGACCGGTAACTCTTAACCGGTACTCCTTAACCACGGGTGAAACGTGAAAGCTCAAATCTTGAACGATAAAGCAAGAGTCGCTGCTGGCCGCGAATTCACGATAAAAACAAGACGGCCGTGAAGAAGGGAAGAGGAGACTTGCCGACGATCCAGATCGCACGAATCCTGCAATGGACTAACAGTTTTAGTGAACACAAATTACCAGGTCCATAATAAAGGTTGTTTTTTTAGGGATAGATCTCGCAAATACAAATGTGTCGTTAAAGCCGCCACCACCCCGCACAGCCAGTTAGTAAGGTTTGTCACAAACAAAACGTGCCAATTAGTTACAGTAACTTCTCCAACACACCGGTGTGTTGGAGTAGTTACAGTAACTTCTCCAACACACCGCTGTGTTGGAGTGTAAACCCACAACATTTACAATTCGAGTACTGTGACGTTTCGCTGGCGATTAACGACCAGCCTCATCAGGCGATGAGCCATAACTGCATCTATATTTACGCGATCTAATCCAAAAAAACTTTATTATGGATATTGGTTGCAAAAGCCTCCTAAGCGCTAAACCAGATTTACCAGAGTTCACAGCCTGCTAAAAACTGACTGGTAGAAACTCAGCGAACTGACAAATGTCCGAATACGTAACCAAGATTTAACTTTTACACTTAAACAACAGAACAGCCGTCCCTGGGCAGCTTTGTCTGGAGGGGTAACAAATCCGACTTTGCGTTCACTTCAGGCGACGTGGGAATAAGACGGCTTGGAAACGCTGCTGCTGCTAAGGCGGCTCACGCAGAAGTCAAGTTGCCGCCAATTGAACTGCATAGACTTTGCTGCAATGGGCATTTGATGGACTGGCTGGGCTCGGCAATCAACCCCTGACACGTACAGAGAGAGGCTCTCCGCGTGAAGCTGCGTGGCACACGGACGGGGGACGGGGGGGTCTCCGTTTGACCCACAGCGTTACGAGTACGAGGAAGCGCACGCTGCTACCACCTCTAACTGCGTTAGCTGGGTTAGGCTGACATGCCACGGGAAGCAGACTGCGATGAACGTGCTCCTTTATTTTTACAATGAAGCATGTCTCAAAACAGTATTAATTTGTTAATTCACGATTAATATTTAGTTTTTACTCCACAATGCTGGCTCCAACCATTGTTTGCGACTCTTCAATTCTTTAGAATTTATAATAAATTAATCCAGTTTTTTTTATTCAATCTGGGCAAAACTCTACTGGGATATTCAAGTCAAACCTGGATGCACTCTTATAGAGGGTCAGCTCTAACGATATATATGTTCAGCAAACTACTCACGGTTAAATTGTACAAATTAGTCGTCCAAATTTTCCAATCAAACTCTTTAAATGACAGCACAGATTGTTTAAACATGCACACCGTGGCAGATGTAGAATCTAACAACAAACTCCACACAACCCTGCCAACCAACTCCCTTCGTGTCACCCATCTCCTGATCTCTGTGTATCTTCTTCCATATCGTATCTCCTTGCATCTCCCTTCTTGTATCTCTGCATCTCATTGTCTCGCTTTACATCATTGTTTATCTGTATCTCCTTGTGTGTCTATCTCTACCTTGGAGACACAAACCTCGTCAATCTAGGTCGACGTTTGAACCGGCACGGGAGGTTCTGGTTTGTGGCCAGAGCAAGTCAGCAGGCAGATGCAGCGACCATCATGGTCCCGGTACCCGCGGGTGCCACGAGCCGGCTCGGGCCTCACCTCGCCTCGAGTGACACTCGGAGGGGACCCAGGGTGCCACTGCCCTGTTGTGGGCACACAGACAAAGATTCACTCCCCCGTGTGTAGCCTCTCACAGACTGCTGGGGCAAGTGCTGTGAGTAATGAGTAGCAGCAGCTCCGAAGGCCGGCACTGTGGCACACACGAGGGAGTGGGTGGGTGGCCAGCACCATGCCGGGCCGCCATTGTCTCTGTTTTGTGGGTACCAGACACGCTAACAAACACGTGAACAGGCAACATGCCAGCAATACACAACTCCGTTAACAAACACCACATGAACACACGGATACACAACACACACCCACCCATTACCAGCTCATCGGCAACCCCGAGCACACGAACAAGGCAATTCTCTACCAGCACAGCAACACGTTCCGTGTTAACAAAACGCACCTCAAACAATGTTACCGGTCAACTGCCAAACGCTATGGGCAAAGAAGCTCCTTGTCTCTGTCTTAGATATGGGTCCTAATTGGACGGTTGGCTGTGTACGGTGCGAAATAAGTTCAACATACATAACTATAGACACACACTAGATTTACTACCCGGCTTCGCCCGAGACTTGGATTCTTGTCTTGGATTAACACACGGCCTACGTGGAGGGTGGGGGGGGATGCGTGACGTCAGCAGGCACACTGTGACGTCAGCAGGCACACTGCGTGACGCTGCCGCATGCGGGTGACATGACAGATGTGACGTCACCGCTCACTTGCCGTGCAAAATATATCCATTATTGCGTCCCCCCCCAAAATACAAAAGTCTATTTTTATACTTTTTGCATTGTGTACAGTCTGAAAGCTACCCACATGCCAAATTTCAAGTTTGTTGCACACGTTCACAAATTTCCCTTCTATATATGTACTAAGATTATACAACGCACGACGCAACATAACCATGAATCAGGTCACAATGTCCAGGCTTAGGTCAAGCATTCGGTTCCTTTTTGCTAAGACGTCGCCACAGTGCGACCGCCGTTGTCCTGAGGCCAGCACGACTGTGCGAGGGAACTTTGTCGTCTTGAGGCCTCCAGGTCACGCACGAGGTCACGAGGTCACGCACGAGGTCACGAGGTCACGCACGAGGTCACGCACGAGGTCACGCACGAGGCCTCGAGGTCACGCACGAGGTCACGCACGAGTTCACGCACGAGGCCACGCACGAGGCCTCGAGGTCAGGCACTGGGCCTCCAGGTCACGCACGAGGTCACGCACGAGGTCACGAGGTCACACACGAGGCCACGCACGAGGCCTCCAGGTCACGCACGAGGTCACGCACGAGGTCACGAGGTCACGCACGAGGCCACGCACGAGGCCTCCAGGTCACGCACGAGGTCACGCACGAGGCCACGCACGAGGCCACGCACGAGGCCTCCAGGTCACGCACGAGGCCTCCAGGTCACGCACGAGGTCACGAGGTCACGCACGAGGCCACGCACGAGGCCTCGAGGTCAGGCACGAGGCCTCCAGGTCACGCACGAGGTCACGAGGTCACGCACGAGGTCACGCACGAGACCTCGAGGTCACGCACAAGGCCCCGGGGGTCATCAGTCGGCTCTCTCGATGTCGTGAACGACTTCACGCGTCAGCCGCACCGGTCCACGATGCACAACAAACCTGTCAGCCCCTTACCAGTGCCCTCTACCCTATTACAGACCAATTCAGATCGTATTGGTCACCCCGTTTCCCTTATTAATCTCAACGTTCATCCTACAAAGTCCCATCACGAGGGAGAAACACAAACAAATAGACAAAATGTTACTAAAATTATGATTTTCTTGGCCGTATTGAAACGGCTGCACGCCGTATGGACCTGAAAACTCAGTTTCCCTGTAAATTAATACGGGGTTAAACTGTCTGGGTTGCCAGGTATGTGTGCATGTACTCTAGCGTGTATATACTGTGTAAATACTGTGTGTATATACTCTGTGTAACACATTCCTACGGAGGGAGCTGGTAGGAACGTTGGGTTGCTCGGTCAATGGCCAGGGTCAACGGCGGCGTGGTGTATTCCGCAAATGTGGCCGACTGTGAGGGCGGGCACAAGCCGGCGTGAGTAGGTTAAACGTTGAGTTTTATAAGGGCACCACGGGGTGACCAGCCCCTCCCCACCCAGACCCTCCCCACCCAGCCCCTCCCTGCACGACGGACGGACACAATAATCCCTTGTGGGCTGGTGTAACCAGGAGGTTCCTACCAGTATATATAGTATATATAATGTGCATATACTCTGTGTATATATACTTTGTGTGTATACTGTGTATATACTGCGTATATAATCTCTGTGTATATATACTTTGTGTATATACTTTGTGTATATACTGTGTGTATACTCTCTGTGTGTATATACTCTCTGTGTGTATATACTGCGTATATAATCTCTGTGTATATATACTTTGTGTATATACTTTGTGTATATACTGTGTATATACTCTCTGTGTGTATATTCTCTGTGTGTGTATACTCTGTGTGTATACTATGTGTGTATACTCTGTGTGTATACTATGTGTGTATACTCTGTGTGTATACTCTCTGTGTGTATACTCTCTGTGTGTATACTCTCTGTGTATAAACACGCTGGGGGACACGCCGTGTTGTGGTACGGGGTGGGCGGGAAGTCCATGCACCCCGCTGGTTGAGGGGTATAGCGACTTCCCGCCCACCCTGCAAAGCGTGCAGGAGATTGCCTCCCAACCGGATCGCGTCCCGCCATAGGAATGTGGAATTTAAACGACTGGCGCGGATCACGTGACAGTTCAGGCTCTGCACCACCGCGCACTGTACGCACCCGTACAGTGCGCTGTACAGTGCTGCTGTACAGTACAACCTTGGCGAACGCAAACGCCGTGAACTTGGCTCCCGTGTGGCTCCATGTGGCTCCATGTGGCTCTCACCTTGCTCATGTCCATGTCGCCGAAGCCTCCGCAGCACTCGCACATGGGGGGGGACGCCGCGGCCCGGGGCTGCTGCCCGGGTCTCGGTCACGTGACGGGCCGACACGTGGAGCCGCCACGTGGAGCGCGGAAACCCAAGAAACGGGAGGCGCGCGTCCGCTCCGCTCGTCCCCACGTTCCTTGCCTGCTTCTTTCATTCATTGCCTGCCTCATTCATTCATTGCCTGCTTCTTTCATTCATTGCCTGCCTCATTCATTCATTGCCTGCCTCATTCATTCATTCATTGCCTGTCTCATTCATTCATTGCCTGTCTCTTTCATTCATTGACTGTCTCTTTCATTCATTGCCTGCCTCATTCATTCATTGCCTGTCTCTTTCATTCCTTGCCTGCCTCTTTCATTCATTGCCTGCCTCTTTCATTCATTGCCTGTCTCTTTCATTCCTTGCCTGCCTCATTCATTCATTGCCTGTCTCTTTCATTCATTGCCTGCCTCATTCATTCCTTGCCTGTCTCTTTCATTCCTTGCCTGTCTCTTCCATTCATTGCCTGCCTCATTCATTCATTGCCTGTCTCTTTCATTCCTTGCCTGCCTCTTTCATTCATTGCCTGCCTCATTCATTCATTGCCTGTCTCTTTCATTCATTCATTGCCTGTCTCTTTCATTCCTTGCCTGCCTCTTTCATTCATTGCCTGCCTCATTCATTCATTGCCTGCTTCTTTCATTCATTGCCTGACTCATTCATTCATTGCCTGTCTCTTTCATTCCTTGCCTGCCTCTTTCATTCATTGCCTGTCTCTTTCATTCATTGCCTGCCTCTTTTATTCATTGCCTGCCTCATTCATTCATTGCCCGTCTCTTTCATTCCTTGCCTGCCTCTTTCATTCATTGCCTGTCTCTTTCATTCATTGACTTCTCTTTCATTCCTTGCCTGCCTCATTCATTCATTGCCTGTCTCTTTCATTCATTGCCTGCCTTTTTATTCATTGCCTGCCTCATTCATTCATTGCCTGCCTCATTCATTCATTGCCTGCCTCTTTCATTCATTGCCTGTCTCTTTCATTCCTTGCCTGCATCATTCATTCCTTGCCTGCATCTTTCATTCATTGCCTGTCTCTTTCATTCTGTCTCATTCACTCGCGCAACTATTCACGCCCGTGTCGTGTTCATTCACCCATTGATTCAGTGCATGTGGCTCACTCGTTCTCTCCAATTATAATTCATTGCCAACGTCATTCGCTGATCCATTAATATCTCATCATTCACTCTTCACCGATTTCATTCACTCATCGCCTGTCTTATTCGCTTCTCATTCAATAATTCATTCTTTGCCTCTCATGCACTCATTCATCGCCATGTCTCATTCTCCCATCCGTCTGTCTCAATCATTCGCTCACGAATGCATTCCGTGCACACCTCGAATGAATGAATAAATGCATTCATTCCGTGCCTGTTCTCATTGACTAATGTGTGCATCATTCATTCGTTCAAATCCTGCCTATTTCATTCACTTGTTCATTGCGTGTCGGTGTCTCATTCACTGCTCATGCCCGCATCCTGTCTGTGTCTGTGCGACCTGTAGCCACTCATTCTTGATTTGAAGCTTGAAGCTGCCGCCACTCATTCGCGTCGTCCTGAGCACCGCTGCTCATTATCTTTCCGCAGGGGCGGTGCGTCATTCATTCTTTAAGGTCGCGCGTTCATTCAGAGTCTTTCCCATTCATAGTTTTAAATGGAACAATAAACTCTCTACTACTTCTTCATCAGCACCAACCCTGCCGATGTTACGACACTGCCGCTCCACCCACACCACCCATCCCGTTCCAAACACGCGTCCTGCCAAAATATTCAATTCCCTTCAGAGGTCAATGCAATGCCTCTGCAAATGCGCGTCTGTGTGTTCTCTTGTTCTCTTGATCCGCGTGTCTCTCTGTTCTGGGTAACGCAAATCGCGCTCAGTGCTTTCATCCTCGCTTCCTGCCCGTTTCAATGCTTCCGATCCATTTCATGGCAGCTAATATGTCACGCAGTGTCAATGTTTTTAGCCTCACAAGGGACATTGCCTTTCATTACAACATTCATCTTTCGTCACGTTGGTGATGCCAGTCCGCCTTCGATAATTGCTTTAAACATAAAGTTGCGTCCGTCTAACAGCTATTGTCTCTGTTATAATTAGCAAACGTGGAGATTACGTCTCTTCCTGTCATGCGTCTTCATCCAGACCCACCCAGCCTCCTTCAAGTTGTAGAAATAATTCAACGTCGTTCATTTCCCCTGCCATCACCACGACTGCCCTCAGCAAATCTGAGTTGGATAATTATTTATTCATTTGTGTCCGTGACCTCATTTCTCACGTCTTTAAGTCGTCTCTGTGAGCAAGTGCGCTGCGATCACTCGGCACTACTCGGTCCGAGTTATGGAGCAGCACGCGCTTACCCGCAGTGGTTTATTATTCACACATTTCTCGGGTCGCTCATCAACAAACCCGGCAGCCTCCACACGTCAGAGCTTCATTCAAGCAAATAATAAAATAATAAAAATAACCCAATAAAATAATTCTCAAGACGTTTCGGCCACAACGCAAGCAGCCGTTCTCAGGTCTGTCGAGAAGACAGAGTCATTCAGACTCTGTCTTCTCGACAGACCTGTTCTTCACCTGAGGACGACTGCTTGCCGAAACGTCGTGAGAATTATTTTATTATGTTTTATTTTTATTATTTTATTATTTCCATTCTACGTGACTTTACCGAAAGAACCAAGGAAAATGAATCCCTGCAGTCACGAAAGCTTTAAATAGAAATTCAAGCAACTCTGCGAAAAGCGCGCGTCCGAGTTGTAGCGGGCAGTGAAGGGCAGCAGCTCCCCTGCACTGCCCTGCACTGCCGTGCACTCGAGGCCAACCCAACATCATCGTTCACTGCGCAAACATTCAGCCAAACGCTGAGACGGCAGATCAACATTCAGCCACATTACACGGAACAGAAGGGGACTCTTTTGAGTCCGGTCTTAGAAGCACGGCTGTGGTACGATGTTGACTAACCTCGCCCGGTATACAGGAGGTCGTGGGTTCGATCCCGACCCTGACGATGCCTGCTGCTGCCGCTGTATATTTGGAGTTTACATGTCCTCCCCGTCCTCCCCGTGGTCGCGTGGACTTTTTCTCGGGTTTCCCCCTCTACATTTAGAATCAACGTCACGCGTTTAGAGTGTTTGTCTGCTAGACATTGCCACTACGATGATGATGATGAGCCGCTTGGTTGAACTGTCATTAGTGACCAGGTCGTGAAGTGAAGGCATACTTCATCACCCAGTTGAGATCGGGACGTGTGCGTGCCTTATCATGCACAGCGGGCATTGACAAAGTGGGATGCTTGGTTCAGTCGAACTCAAATGTTGTTGTGATCACGTTTGTTTACCCAGGGAAGTCTCAACGAGACTCTTTTCAAGAGGGTCCTGCCAAGTTCTAGCAGTAGGGGGCGCGATGTTGCGACGTGTAATCTCAATTGAGAACAGGGGGAGAACATACAAACAAACATACAGAACAGGGGGAGATAAAGACAAAGATCCCCCGTATAGCCTTAACAGACTGTAGGGGCAAGTGTTGTTAGCGAGCACCTATAAAGACTGGCACGGCACACGAGGGGGTGGGTGGCCCCCACGCCCGGCCGCCTTTGTCTTCCCAGTGGAAATGTTTACACATCGCACCAGGTACTCATTTGAGGCTGAGTCGACCTAGGGGAGGCCCAGAACCGGTTCAAATAATCGTCACTTGTGTTTGCCGTGAGCAGGAATCGAACCCGGGTCGCCAGGTTCGTAGCGCAGCGCAGCGCTGACCGCTACACGATCGCTCCCCACTGAGGCCCGAGTGTGGCGAGCACGCCACCATGCACAGCTGCATCTTCAAGACACGCAGCCGCTCCCATGGATTCTGCCTTAAAATTACCTTCGCACAATGTCTATTTTAATAAAGAATAATTCAATTGCCTTGACCTATATATTAGGAGATTTTTGTCTATAAGAACTTGTGTTTATAGAACGTCCCATGCAATGACGTCGAGATGCGCTGGATATTTTACACATTGAAATTGCTTTTTTTCATGTATATATTGAATTGGAATCACAATAAAACTGATTTTTCTCTAACTGGTGTGCAACGGCATAGTTTATACAGCTCGTTGGAATGGGTGGTCACGTGACGATTACAACATCAGCCCTCCTCATCAACGCGGCCACAATTGCTATCCCCATTGTCAGCGAAATGAGTTTCTGTCGCATTAAAGCCGTCAATGCGACTGATTCACGCAGCGCGGACAACCCAAGGTTGTCTGCCACTTGAAGAGCGGGAATCTGGGGCGATGTGTGGAAGTGGGTTAAGTGCGCAGTGCCGTCTCACTCTTGGCCATTGATAAAAAAAAACACATTCGACGAATGATTGTGCGCGGTGCCTTTTGCATGGCCGCAGGCAGGGAGATGAAGAGAGACGGAGAGAGGGGGGGAGAGTTTGCGCGTTTTGAGGAGGTCTGGGAGCTTTGTTCCAAAGGTGGTTCGGAAGAGCGATGGGACTTACCCACGACTTAATCCGCTTCAGAGCCATCTGAACATCCACTCCATACTCGACACACTTCATTCCATCCAAGCATTGATTCGCCCTCCGCTGAGCCAGCAGTCGCGTTACCCGCGGTCTGGGCTCCGTCTCTCCGTGGGGCATTCTCCCCTCTCGGCGGTGACGTCGCCCACAGGCGTGGCGCGTTGGTCCGCTCGTTGCTGAGGTTCAACGTTTCGAATCCAGCAGGCCCCCCCCCCCCCCCCCCATTGGTTAATACTGCGTTGGGTGCAATAACCACACACACACAAGATGAACCAATGTAAAACGTGTATTATCCATTAAGCCATCCAGATATATAAACACATAGACAATTTAAACCAAGAAGATGGGTATAAGCTGAGCAATCATTGGAAGGACGTCATTAACCAAGCAAAGCCGTCACTTGCTGTGGTGCTTCCATTCTTCCCTGCCGTTTGGCTGTTGTCTCCGACTCTCTGAGTTGCATTGCCCTGTTGGTTGCCTCTACATTAACGAGCTGGGGTCTCACTAACATGGCCACCTCTGCTCCCT